GCCCCCCTCATCTTTTCTAGAGCGGGCAGCCTCTTTGCCTCTCGGGACACTTTATAGATGTGGGCGATGTCTTGAGTAAGAGGGTGTACTCTGCATACCGCGGGAAAGGATGTTTATCTCCGCGGTTATCTACTCTCTATTTCTTTTGAAATCTGTTGTGATCCCTATCGTTGTGGTCTTGGCCCTCACGCTTATCCGAGGGGCGATCTTGTCTTCTATTTTGGGGCCCCAGCATCGAGCTGCTGGCTAGTGCCGCTAAAAAGCTCTCTACTCACTAGTATTTTGCGACCATCTGGTAGAATTTGGCCAGGCTCACAAGATCTTCACTCTAGAGCCCTTTCCACAACTTCGTGTTAGGTCTAATCCCTGCGATCAGCAGAGTCCGAATGGATTCTTCGGGGGCATCAACGACCTTTGTCTGCTCGTTCTGGAATCCCGTTAAATATGAGGTTAGTGATTCGTCTCGCTCTTGGCGAATGTTGCTCAAATAGCTGAGCGGCATTGCGAACAGTCTCCTTACCTAAAATTGCTATGAGTACAACGCGGAGAATTGTTGTCAAGAGTTGATGGAGTTCGCCTTAAGCCGTTTGTACCACCTCTTGGCATCTCCGACTAATGTGACTGTGAAGCACCGGCATTTCGTTAAATCACTGACCTGGTGTAGCTCTATCAGGTCATTAAAGTTATCAACATGATCCCTGGGGTCCTCTCTCCCATTGAACTTGCTCTTTGGCACCCTGAACTCCAGTGAGAGCAGGGCTTGGCGAACTTCCTCCATAAAGGAGGAACTTACTACCTACTCCGCCAGATTGTTCTGGCGAGTTTTTAGATCGTCAAGCATCCTTTGCATACGATCAAAGTCTTCACTTTGGTTGCCTTGGTTGGCTCTGTTAAGTTGTACCTCGAGCAAATAAGTTCGCAAGTTTGTTGCTTGCGAAGCTCCTCCGGCGCATGCGTTAATGCGCGAGGTCAAGTCATGATGGCTGGGTTGGTAAGTGTTATCATGTTCATTAGTGCGTTGCTCCCGACATCGGTCATAACTGGAACGTCAGTCATTGCTAGATTAACGCACATGGTGAAGATCGATCTTGTCTTGGGCGTGGGTTAAAACTGGCATGCTGACACTAGGGATACCACTAAGATTCTCGGTTGTGTTCGTCTCCTTCGCTTTCCCTCCATGGCTTCCCTGGTCGCCTCCCAGGGTTTGTTAGCCCGCGGGACTCACACTCGTGCGTGGAGTGCTACTTGCGAGGTTGGAGGTGTTGATCGCCCCTCGATGGCAACGAAGCGAACTATCCACCTACAGAATTCATACATGTTGGGGTGGCATTGGCGAAACGCGGCTGGTTAAGGTTCTGGGCAATTAGTTGTTGGTTCCTCAACTCAACCATGTTATGTTGCACCGCCTGTGCAACCATTGTCCTGATTATCTCCATCAGCTAGCTGTTCTCAAGATTTGATGTCTTTGCCCCCAGGTTGTTTGCGGCGTGCTAAGCTGGTGGCACAAGTGGTTGGTGTCCAGCGTTCTCTTGTTGCACCTTCTGATGGGTGGTTTTCATGTTCTTGTAATTTTCGGTGGTAGTTCTTAATCTGGTGAACACCATTTTGGTCTTGGGACAAGTAAATTGCGGCGAACGTTTGCCGGAATCTTTGAAATATTCGTGGAGGTTCAAGCCTTCCTTCTAGCGCCAAAATGTTGATACATAATTATGCACCAACCAGCGTGATCCGATCGACCTTACCGGGATCGAAACCAATGTGTGCGTGATTAGTGAAAATCAGTAATGAATATGAATGAAATGAATTAAAAACAAAGAGATTTTTAAAGTGGTTCGGCGAGGTTAACAACCTACGTCCACTGTGTTTTTGTATTTGCTGTGAGAGCTTATAATGCAATTCTTATCTAAAAATCGTAACCTCGTCCTTATCGTTTGAGAGGGTTTTGATACAAGATTTGTACAAAGAAAAGAGCGAATTAAGGGGCTTACAATTAATCTGAATCGCAATTTTGATATTCTTGCGATTGGGCGCTGTGATTACGCAGTGATCACTGTTGATCGAGTCATTCTTGTAATATCTGGGATCTGAAGTAATTTGGAGATTGATTGAATGATTCCTTGAATTGTTCGCGACTAGCTTATGCTAGGTCCAGCGATATCTTGACGAGCTTATGTTGGGTTGATCAATCATAGTTGCCGAGCTCATTCTGGGTCAAGCTATATCCTTGAGTTGGCCCGAGCTTGGCGAAAAAATCACACACAACAGTTTTTTTTTTTTTTTTTTTTTTTCCTTCAAAAGACATTTTAACCATTATAGATCATCAATACAAACTTGATACGAAAGTGTTTTGACCGTTTGAAAGCACTTTTTATCAAAATCACTTCCTCAAAGCCAAAGCAGCACAGAATTCTTTTTGTTTAACTTTAGGGTTTATTTGTTCAAGTAAAATTTTAGGAAAAAAGTTATAGAAACAGTTTATTAGACTAGAATTTTTTTGAAAAATTTGATAGTTGTTTAATTAAGAAAATATAAAAAGAGCTTTCTAATATTAATACACCAAAAAAGGTTTTAATATACAAGAATAAAATAAGAGAAATTTAAAAGATTGAATAAGAATATTTTTTAAATTTCAACATTTTTAATAAGCTCAAATTTTGAGCTTCTCCAGAAGCCATAAAATAGTTTCTTTATAACCGTATAAACACTTTTGAAATACAACCAAACAACCTAACAAAATTTAAAAGTGCTTAATGGATTAAAAAAGTTCTCGTAACTAGTGGAGAAGCCCAACCAAATAGGCTTTTAGCTATGCTTACAAATAATAGAATTATCAATATTATTACTTTATACCCCCTGAGGTTTGGTTAAACATGTAATGGTGTGGGGGATTGTGGCAGTGTGGTGGCCTGGTGGGGGAAGAGGTGGAGCACAACAATTTATTGCGGTAGTGCGGCAGTCTGCGAGCCAAGGTGGATTGTGGCACAGGGAAGCTAAAAATATGGGGTTGTTGGGCAAAGCGAACAAAATTCTTTTAGGTCAAAAGGATCAAAATTCAAGTATTTAAAAATAGACCAACACCATAGGGGTGAGGAAAAATTCTTTAGCTTGACAATGTGGGAGGATTATATGTAGTCCCTGATGGTTTGGATTAGTAACACTGTGGTCCCTATTAGATTATCAATGATAACCTTAGGGACAAGATTGTCATTGTCAGAAGATGGCTAAGGAGTTAAGATCTGAGGCTGCTGCCGCTGCGTATCATGATCTGGACAAATCGACGGGCCTGAATCCAAAGTCCTGGATAGGTGGGGCCAATTGATGGCGAAAAGTGGGCCACTGGACCTCCAAAACAGTAAAGCTGACAAGTCATGTGTTGACTTTAAGCCATAAAACTAATTTCATTAAATTAAACATATTATTCTTTTCACATTCTAACTAATTTATGAATATCATTTTCCCCCCCGAGGTATCAGTAAATAACATGTCGCCCCTTATTATTTCTACCCATATTCCCAATTTTATTCTCAAAATACTTGTTTGTTTTGTTATTTGAGAAATATTAGTATATTTTTTTAATTATTTTTAGACCCCTTAAGTTTATTAATTTCATTAAATACCCCCAAAAAAAGTTTAAAAATTAACAAAAACACCTCCATCCACCCATACTTGCCAGATTCCGGCAACCACCGTCAGTGGTAGTCGAAATCTATCACAACGGCCTACAAATGACCGAAACCGGCCTTTTCCGACCAGATCCACAGTGGATCTGGCCAGAAAATACCAGATCTGGCTGTCAGCGATGGCCAAAGAAATGGTCATTGTTGACGGTCAACGACGGCCAAATCTTGGCCATCGTTGACCTATAACGACGGCCAGATTTGGACTTTTGAGGTCGTCGATGGGTAGATCTGGCCGAAAAATGTCATATCGACGCCCTACCCGTTAGATCCGACCGGTCTGCATCGTAATGCCATTTTTCTGCCAGATTCTGGGGGTGATGGTCAGAATCTGGCACTGTGGGTGGGTGGGGGTGTTTTTGTTATTTTACAAAAAATTTATGTACTGGGGTGTTTAGTTAAATTAGCAAACCTATGGTTTTTTTTATAAATTTTTAAATTTTACCTTGTAATACTCCCCTATTCAACTACTCAATATTATTCCAAAAATAATAAAACAAACGGACCTATAAATAACAATTTACCAAGTAAAATTGACCCCCTGTTATTAGTATTTGGTTAGGGTTTTACTGTTTTACTTTAACCATTAAGTGTAAAATGCATTTGTCAGATTACAAAAACACTAATGAAAAAGTGACTATAATAAGTAATAAATCGAGAAAATGACTTTATCCACTCTAAGATTCAGATCAACTATTGTCTATGTCCTGCATTTTAAAATACTCGAATTTACCTCTCTTGAATTTAATAAATGTTTATATAATCTGTTAATTGTGATGATTTTTCCATTTAAAAACTAGAATACCCCTCGTCGTGATATTATCCAAGTATTGACGGAAAAATAATATAATAGAAAAATATAAAATAAAAAAATTCTATTGTTTCTTAAATACAATTAACTCTTGTTATTTCATACACCTAAGGGGGATTTCATGATACCTAAGGGGAAATTGTATTGAATTATTAAGATTTATAAATTATTTTTATCAATTATATTCATCTAGATTAAAAAAAAGACTATCTTATATTACCTTCTTATTTGTTTCTAAATGTTTTCTAACTATTATTTAATAATCGATATTTTCATAAACATTTTATATTAGTCAAGAATATTAACAACTATATATATATAATTTTACATATAAATTATAATAATTTTATTTTTTTATTGTTACATCATTTATTTTGATTTTTCCAATATTTGAACAATTAGATTTGAAAAAAGAAAGGAAAGGCAAAACGACGCCGTATGGTCAAGTTGTGAGTTCTACAGACAAAAACACGTTCCAAAAACGATCACTCAATTCATGTGGCGGAACTCAAACTCAATTATTAACTGAAAAAAATAATTAAAACTAATTTCAAGTCCGCGTTCTTTCTCTCTTTCAATTCAACCCATCTTTTTCCCAAATCAATCAAAATCCCTAATTTTATCCCCAATTCAACACGAACTTGAGAAGATATAAAAGCTTAATTCGAATTACCTGTTTAAATTCGAGCTAAGTTTCACTTCCTTAGATCGATACTCGCTTGAATTGTAAAAATTGGAGGCGCTCAAAGCTTGCAGTTTTCAATATTCTGGGCAAAAATTTTTCTTTTTAAGTTTATTTGAAGTTTTTTTCTTGATGCTTTGTTGAAAGGAACGGCTATGGAGTACGATGCTTTCGATAGTAGTGGTGAGTTTTTTGTTTCTTATAAATTTCGGTTTTTTTATTTTATTTTTTTTTTTTTTTTGGTGATTTTCTAGATTTTGTTTTGTTGAACTGTGAATTTCTAGCTCATTAAAGTTATTAATATTTAAATTGAATGAAATAGTCAACGAAGGCGTGCGTTAATTGCTTTTGAATTGATTTCAGTTGTTTCTAGCATATGTCACGTTGAAAATTGATTTTCATACACTTCCTTATAGTTTACTGAAGATTTGATTTGAAGGGTATAGATGAATTATGAATTTATGATCTTTCTGATAGCAGTGGTGAGTTAAGCTGATTTTTTTTTTTTTTAAATAATTTTTTTTGTTTTTTTGTATTTTTTTTTGTAAATTACTAACTATGTGGTGAAATTGATGATTCTTGTACTTTATGAGGATTTTTAGGTTAAGTGGCAGTCCTAGTTTCGAACTCGAGTTTGCTAAGTAGGTTTAGGGATTTATGGGTTTAGTTAGGTTTGATTAGTGTACTTTGAAGTGAAGAAGAGTAATGAATCCAGTTCCTATTATGGACTCATAGTAGAAATTTGAAATTGCGTGAATTAGTTGTAATGTTATAAATCAAGTGTTCTCATTCGCAGTTGTGGGGAATTGCTCGGTTTATGTTGGTATTTGGTTGATTTGAAGTCACCTTTCGGGCTTCATTTTTTTATTGAAAAGTTGCTTTAAATGTTCTAATGATTGTAGCCAGTCTTTAGATTCAGGTTAAATTGTTTGATGAACTTTAGTTAACACTGTTGGTCATCTCATTTTTTGTTGGGTTTAGTCTTAAATACAACCGTTCACTGTTTCATGCTTAAATCCACAATTTGAGGCTTCAAAAATAATTTTTTTTTGTGAAGTTCTAGAAATAGTTTATAAGTCTCTTGTTTTCAATTTGTTTTATCTTTTTATGTAATTATTTGGCCCACAGTTGTGCCAGTCATCGCATGTGAGATGCGTAAGCTAGTAGTTTTGATACATTTGAGATACTGATTCCTTTTGCAATAAAAAGATTTTTCATGCAAGATTTGTATGTTCTATCCTTTGCAAGTGGCTATTTGGAATCTGGCATTTGTTATAACTTGCATTAGTTTTATTAGCTTGTTTTTTATTTCAATCTAGTCACATTGCTCTACGTATCAACTCTTCTGGATGTGCCTATGAAGGTGACTGGAGAATTTTGGTCTTTTTCATTGAAATCATTCTTTGTTTGGCAGCCACATACCAGAAACAAATCCAATAATTGCTTCTTTATGAAACAATTGCAGGAACAGATGACGACCTCCCTCCTTCACATCAAAATAGATTTCAAAGAGGGAGCCGCCCCGCTGGAAATGGAAGATCTGCAGTTGTTGGTTCTGCTATGTTACCTAGGATGCCGCAGAATGAAATGGAAACTCTGATCCACAACATTGAGCAAGAAGCATACAGTTCAGTCCTTCGGGCCTTCAAAGCTCAATCTGATGCCATCACTTGGGTATCTATTAACTTTTCTAATATATATATATATCTATTCATGCAGTTTATCTTGGTAAGTAAAATTAAGAAGGTTTGAATGTCCTTCATTTTATATTCCTTCAGGAGAAAGAAAGTTTAATTACTGAACTTAGGAAGGAGTTGAGAGTATCAGATGAGGAACACAGGGTGCTTCTATCCAGGGTTAATGCTGATGACATCATCCGGAGGATAAGGTCTGATTATATCATGACATGCTCTCTGAGCAGCTTTTGTCATATAGGTAATCAATTACTGATCAGTTCTGCCTTTTAACGGGAAGTATAAATCAATCATGCTATTAGGGAATGGAGAAAGGCAAGTGGCCTCCAGCCTGGTATGCCAAGCATCCCCCCACCTGTTCATGACCCTGCACCGAGTCCAACTGTTTCAGCATCACGCAAGAAACCAAAAACTTCTCAGTCTGTAGCTTCTTTGTCAATGGGTGCACCATCTCCTGCTTTGCATCCATCTATGCAGCCATCTTCATCTGCCAAGAGACCAGGTCCTCCAGCAGGCAAGAAACCAAAATCAGTAAGTGTTTTATAATTTAGAATATGAAAGAAAGTGAGAAATTGATGTTTCCTTTGGTTTCCATTATTACTATTCAGTTAACGGAGTACATTTTTGCTGCATCTCCATTGAAATCGATGCAGTTATCTACAGGTCTAACTGGAAGGGCCCAAGTTGGTAATCGGGGCTCTTTGGGGGCCTTTGTGGCAAATGAGCCTGCTGAACCAGCAACCTATGATCCCTTAATTGGAAGGAAAGTTTGGACAAGGTGGCCTGAAGACAACTACTTCTATGAGGCTGTTATAACTGATTACAACCCTATTGAGGTATCTATGTTATTGACTATGGTGTTTGTGTACTTAATTTTCTTCTTTTAATCTCACATTTTCCCAACATTGGTAGGGGCGGCATGCTTTGGTTTATGATATTAATACAGCAGATGAAACATGGGAATGGGTCAATCTCAAAGAGGTAAAATTGCTCTCGTTTATATATATATATATATATGTGTGTGTGTGTGTGTGTGTCATGCTCGTGAGTTGAGTAGATTTTTAGCACACTTTCTTTTTATCATCTGTTGGATGCTAATGAAACATCTGGTCTCGGGCCTGTTTATCTAATAAGTAGTTTATCTAACAAGCTTTTTCTGCCTTAGAGACAAGAGATTAGCTATTCGCATAGTTGTCTTTAATTAAATCACGAAAAAGTCGTGTATCAATTATTATAATGACATACATTATAGCAGCATGAAGAATATTGTATTTACATCTTCCTCTGATATATTATAATGATTACCATGCATTATATTCTTGGTCATGCTGAATGAAGGGAAGTGAATGTAAGATTATACAGTGTATGAATTTGTACAATTTGACATAGTTTTTTGTCCTAACCAAGTAGGCTGGCTTTTAACTAAGTATTGCAGTTTCACATCTGTTTCCCTGCTTTGGTGATAAAAAAATCTGTCTTCAAAATTTATCATCTGCTGAACTAGAAAATCCTACTTGCTATTGATCTTCTGTCTTATAATGGTAGATATCACCGGCAGATATCAGATGGAATGCTGAAGAACCTGGGATTTCTCGTAAAGGTGGCCGCCCAGGGCCAGGACGTGGGATTAAGAAATCCATGGCACGTGGTGGTGCTGTTCCTGGGGCAGGAAGAGGTAGAGGGACCATGAAGGGTCAATTAAAGAAGGATTTTCCTTTATCACAGAATGGTATCAGGAAGAAGGCTTTGGGTGACATTGAAATTCTTCACACGGATACTTTAATCAAGGAGGTAAGGAGTGGCTGGAAGATTTACTTATTTGAATTTTTGCAAATGAAGTGACTGTTTTACCTAATTGTGGTGTATTTGAACAGGTTGAGAAAGTTTTTGGTTCTAATCATCCCGATCCCTCAGAAATTGAGAAAGCAAAGAAAGTGCTAAAGGTAAGAACAAAGGCCCTCACAGCCTCACTACAGTTTAGCTGTGTTTTAATCGATTCCTGCAAGTCTGATGAATCCTTTGGAATGCAGGATCATGAACAAGCCCTAGTCAATGCAATTGCAAGGCTCGAAGATGCATCTGATGGTGAGAGTGGTAATAACTAATTACATATAACTGTGTTCTATAGTATGAGAAGTAAAAGCACTCCGTCTTCTGTTGTATCATCTCATTGTTGTAGTATTTCCAAGATTCAGATTTTGATCTGTACTATCTGTGTAAAAAAAAATTTCAGTTAATTATTAGTGTATCCTTTTCGAGTTAAGTTTACCCCTAAATGCTTCCTTCCTTATACTTTCCATTTATTTAATGGCCTTCTTTTCTGTGAATGAGAACTTGCTGCCATTTTGATCTGAGCTTATTATTTCTGTAATGGCCTTCGTTCCCTTATAGTGGATTCATTTGTTATTAATGATAAAAACAAATCCCATTTTTTTTTTTTTGTTCTTGACTTAAAAGCAGACGAGGCAGAACATCCATTCTCTCAAGGGCAATCTACAGACCAGGAACAAGGATGGCAAAAACGACTGTATAGTGAGATGGGTGGAATGGTTGAAGGCTCAGAGGCCAATAATGGAAAGAAAGGGTAGAATTTCATCGGATATGAGCGATGAGGCGATGAAATTATGATTTAGTAGACCGGTTTAGCCAGCTGGGCAGTCATCCAATAGTCGATTAATTTATCTGATGATCAAGGATGATTGTTGATTTAGTAAATTATGTAGTTAGCCAGTTGCATGTTTTCTTGTATTTACGTAATTCCTTTGTAACTGGATAACCAGCCGGCTAAATGACTTTCATGAGCTGGTGTTTGGTTAGGTTTGAGTTCATTGTAAGTTTATTCATCTGAATTCAGGTAGATGCTGTTGTAAATGTAACAATCATTTATCATACTGATTTGATTGCTCTTCTTTCTTTCTTTATTTCCGATGTTAAAAGGTTCGAGTTATTTTCAAATGATTGAAATTACTTTCATATATACATAATGATAATAGTAAGTCATTCTCTAATGAAAACTTAACATGCGAACCAAAAACTAAAGACCTGTGTCTAATCGCTAGTTTTACAAAATGCAAAAACCAAAACCACCTAGTCGCTAGTCTTTGATTCGCACATTAAAAACTTCTTAATGGTTTCTTACTTGAAAGTGCTTTTGATAGAAACATTCACTAATGCATCCTAAAACCAATATAACTGGGATTGAGTGCCTAATATTTCATGGTGAAGAAGATGCATTCCAACCATTTAATTTCCTGCAAATCAAACAAATTGTGAAAAATCAGCATATACATAGAATGGACATAAGTTTATATATATGGAAAAGCGATTTGAGGAAAACCAATTCTGCACAAGCACTTCTCCAAGAAGTGGCGGATAGTAGTACTACAATGATGCAATGAATTCAAGGATAAGAGTCACCATCTTGGCATCATATTCAGGGCCTTCCATCTGGAAGTGGCTTACTCCTTCAATTAGATGAGTTTCTACTCGCCCCTCAGCAGAACTCAGCTTGTTCTTCAGCTGCTTTACACTGGTAAACCCGTCCTGAGTTCCCATAACAAAGAGCTTCGGCTTTGGGGTTTCAAGGATGTTTTTATGGTGTCGGCTGAATAGGATCGAAGCTAGCATACCAAAAGGGTACCCCAAACTTACATAGCCCACAACTTGCGGAATCTCCTGAACTGCAGAGCCTGCAATCGGTGCACCTGAGAACAGATGATAAGGAAACAAGATTAGATACTACAACATCGAATATGATTTCACCTTCCAAGGACATTGCGAAACTCGATGAATCTATGAATTTACAAAAGCGGTACACAACCAAATCCCATCTATCATTGTAATGCAAGTAATGCAACACTATTATCATATTAATTGCAAGAGTTAATCAAACACAGCCGAGAAGATATTGTATTAGAAAAAAGATTAACACAAGTCCCCAAGTAATAGGAGACATGATTCACAAACAGTAAAAAATGCATCAAAGAAAAAAAATTGGCGAGATGCTTAACTGATTTCATCACCAAATAATTAATATCAAGATGTCAAGATCTCGCTTCTCACTGTCATAATGAAACTGACACCAAAGAAAATTTTGAAAATTAATACTTCACTTGTAATTAAAGCAGCAAAGTATGGAGAGGGACTGAATTTTTAACGTGAATGGAGAGTAATGTTATCCATTGAGATCAACTTCTAATTATGAATACTCTAGTGTCGAGAACTAAGAAAAGAGTAAGATCATGCCCATATCGAAAATGTGTGTTCCCAAGTTATAAATCCAATTTCACCACTTAAAAACCATAACAGGATACTGTCTCTATGCAATTATCACCAACAAAGATCGTTGAGATTTACGTGCAAAACAACCTACTAATTATCGTATAATGACCTAAACTTCTAAATTCGACTTCTCCCAATTCGAGCATGCTCCTGTCAGCAATTCTAGAATTTATCTAATCAAACAAGTTATTGCAAGAAACTCTTGAAGAGCACTGCCAATTTACAAAAGCATCGGTGCAAGAAAACTGAGCAAAGAACAATTTGCAACAACAAGAAAATACTAAATACAACAAGAAGTAGAAGATTCAAAACCCCAATTCAAATCAAACTTCAAAAGTTAACAAACTGAAACCATAAACTCTACCAACTAAATCTAATCAAAACTTCTCTGAAACCAAAAGCATGATAACATATTTTCCCGTATCTGCCAAAATTTTATTTTCTGTTTAATTTTATAATATTCAAATTCCAATCCAAATCAAAACTTCAGAAGTAAAACCGAGCAAACTTTTCACACAACTTGGATCTACAAACTTTATCCACTAAATCTAATCAAAATTACACCACCTCCCCATATGTATACTACGTTTCCTTCTTTATTTTGCAATTTTTTATCTTTACCTAGCATTATCCACTAGATCTAACAATTCATCCATCAGAATATATCCTTAACGCACCAAAACAAGAATCAAACATGATCCACCAAGCCACAACAAAAACTAAAAAACGAAAACAAGCTACAAAATCATACCTGCAGAAGAACCCACTAACAAGATCCTATCAGTAGAGAGATTCTCACAGACCCATTTGCAGACAGCAACCACATCCTTAACTTCAGCAAAGCCAGTGAGAGAAGCTCTTCCAGTGGACTTCCCCACACCTCTCATGTCAAAAGTCACAGCCCTATAACCCTTACCAGCCAGCCCTGAAGCTATGCCTTTCAGGAGGCCTTGGCAGCCGCCCAAGACTGAGTAAGGGTGGACCAAAACAATCACCAAGTTGTCATCTTTTGAGTCCTTTTCATCGCTGGGTTTGAACACTCTTGCGTGGAGCTTCACCCCATCAGAAGTTTCAACTGTACAGGACTCAAGTTTGAAGTTGGACATGAGGGAGAAGGATCAAAATGGGAACTTGATGAAAGAGAGTGTTTTGAGGAAGTAGAAGTGATGAAGACAAGGGTCATCAATTGAAAGTTCAGTAGTTTTTGTTGGGTGGATGACATGAGAGAGTTAAAAGAGAGAATTTTTAAGCTAAATAATCCTCTCTGAAGTTTCCAAAATGACCAAAATCTCCCCAATATTAAATTTGGGGTGGTAAAATAAATTATTGGAGCATAATTATATAAATATCTATTAACTCATAATACTAATTCTGTGAACTCTAATATTTTATTAACAGTTCACTAAAGATAGGAAAATATTTATTATTTTTTAATTTTCATGAGGATTTTTATTATCACATCCAACCTCGGGAGTTGAGGTATTTCTATACTGGTCAAAATAGTTTTTTTAATGTTTTAAATTTTTTTTTTTTTTTATGTTTAGTTGTATTTCAAAAGTACTTATATAATTATAAAAAAAAAAAAACTATTTTATGGCTTTTGGGAGAAGCTCAAAATTTGAGTTTTTCCTATAAGCTTTTTTTTAGGCTTTTCTGATGTCAAATATGTCCTTACATTATTTTTATAATTTCACCGTATACCCTTCCTTTGAAATAAAGCCCTCTTCTTTATTTTTTATTTTTCAATCCATAGCTACCATCTCAACAAAAATCCTCGCCACTCTCTTACATGATCAAAATTCAACGAATCAATTTCATAGACATATAAAGTATTACCAATATTTTTAATAATATTTCTAGTTTTAGTTTTTGTTATGTAAGTTCCAAACATTATTAATTTTGAACTATTTATTATTTAAATTACAATTAGAATTATTATTATTATTATTTCATGTTGTATATATATTATTAAAATAAAATAACATTTTGTTAGGATATGATATAAATTAAAAAAAATTAAATGTATCATATATTTTTATGGTAATTTATTATGAAATAAGTACTTTTATAATAATACAACTAACTGGAAAAAGTTTTTATAATTAACAACTAACAATTTATTAGTAAAAGCTTGAATCCGTTTAGTTCATTATTTTGATATTTTTTATAATAGTATTTCAAAAAAAGTAAAGTTGAGTTGAATTGGATTATTTTTACGAGAAAATTAATTATTAATATTTTGAATTGAATAAAATATTATTGAATTTCGAAAATATTAAAATAAATGAAATTTTGGGTTTTTAGGATAGGAACTCTATTTTAAACCACAAACTCTTTTCGAAGAAGCCCCGAATAGTTCATAGGGTAAAAGTAAAATAACCTTTTTTACTGTTTAAAACTGGAAACTGACAGTTTCATCCTTAGGACAATAAGATTTGGGTTTGCTTTGAGTCTAGTAAAAATTTCAGTAACATTTTAATCCCTGATAATAAGACAAAATTACCCTTAGAATTGGCCAAAAGAACTTATTTAAAATATTAAGCATTTTGGAAGTTTTTTTAAATTGTTTTGTAATATTTCAAAAGTGCTCAATTTTTTTACATAAACTCTTTTTTAGCTTATTTAAAGTATTGAAATTTCAAAACTATCTTTATTTTATTATATGTTTAACTTGATTTATTCTTGTATATTAAAGCTTAACACTAGAAAGTTGTTTTACATTTTCCTAACCAAACAATCAACAACTTTTTCTATAAAAAGTATATTTCCAAAAGCTTTATTTTATTAAGCTTTATTTTTTTTATAAGCTTTACTCAAATAAGTTGTACCAAACAGATTTTAAAATGTTTCCAAAGAAGTTCTATTGGATCCAAGTGTTACTTACGCCAAACCTCAAGGACAAAATATTTATTAAAAAATATTTAATTTAATAAATAAACAAAGAAAATCAAATAAAATTGATCAAGTAACAATTCACACAATCTTGATGGATTGGTTGAGCTTATCTAAGTCAATAACTTGAAGCATTAATTTTGGATATCGACAAGTACGTACGGCCAAGATTAGAGAATTAAAAAGCAGTATATTAAATGGACTTAATTACATCATCACCCCCCGACTTTCAGTTAATGAAGTGTTCCCCTCCAATTTTGAGAAACTACCACTGATATTCCAATATAAACCATTCTTACTACTGTAATTTTAATTTCCAAAATATTAAGATATTGTTTAAATGACAGATTTAGCCATTAAATCAAATGACTTANTATTTATTAAAAAATATTTAATTTAATAAATAAACAAAGAAAATCAAATAAAATTGATCAAGTAACAATTCACACAATCTTGATGGATTGGTTGAGCTTATCTAAGTCAATAACTTGAAGCATTAATTTTGGATATCGACAAGTACGTACGGCCAAGATTAGAGAATTAAAAAGCAGTATATTAAATGGACTTAATTACATCATCACCCCCCGACTTTCAGTTAATGAAGTGTTCCCCTCCAATTTTGAGAAACTACCACTGATATTCCAATATAAACCATTCTTACTACTGTAATTTTAATTTCCAAAATATTAAGATATTGTTTAAATGACAGATTTAGCCATTAAATCAAATGACTTATCCTAATTTTCCTTATGAAAAATAACAAAGACAAAAATAGTCGGAATATGCTAGACTATCAAATCTAGTACCATATAACATAATCCAACATGCTTTAATTAAACTATTAAACTATATTGCTGAATACTAGACTATCGAGTTTTGTATAATCTACCATAGTCTAGTGTTATATATTAGCAACATATTATTTATTTTTTCATTAAGGGTTTAATTGGTAAGTCACTAGATTTTACAGCTATATTTATCCTTCAAATAAAACTTACACGTTTTGTAAAATTGTGGTTATTATACTTATATTTGTTCAAACCCCAATTTTCATATGTTTGGCCAAAACTTTTAGCCGTGACTAAAAATGTCAAAGGTTAATCCAAAATATTCTTTCTACCCTTTAAACTATTACATTTAAGTGATAGAAACACAATTCCAGGGTGATATTAGTTTGTATGAGAAAATTTGTATAAAAAGTTTGTAAGTATAATCTTACTCATCAATGTTCTAACTATGAAGCCCGTGTATATATATATAACCCTTTAATGGTAGGGATATTACTCACCATATTTTAAATTAAAATCACTTGTTTTAGGTGTGACATTTTGTATTAATGGGTTCCACTTTCCAGTCGTGTTAATTAAAGTATTTATATAAAGATAAAGAAGTATTTATCAATAGTTGTTATATCAAAAACTAAACATACTTTTAAATAGAATTCATACATTTGAAGAGAAAATAATTTATGGTAACGATCGACAATTGTTCTAATGTTATGTTAATGAACGTGATTATATAAAGGGAAGGAAATTTTAATCGATAACTATAATTACATCTATCCAATCATATCATGGGAAATACTATGTTGACAAACGAATCTCACAAACTCGACATAACGTTGAATTAATATTACCACATCAACTCACGCCTTTGACGAGATGTGAACGACCGTTTCTTAGGGCCGTTCATCATAGAATGAACGACCATTTAATGAGGAAGAAATGAATGTTCTATAGGAAGAATTGTCATTCCTCCAGGTGGAATGGCTATTCCTTAGAGATGGAATGGCAGTTCCTTGGAGATGGAATAGTCATTCCTCGTTCCTCATCCAAGGAACGGTTGTTCCATCGTCATTCATCATCCAAAGAACGATCATTCCATCCAAGGAATAACCGTTCGATCCAAGGAATGGTCGTTCCTCATTCAAGGATCGACCATTCCTCCATTCATAAAGGAATGATTGTTCGAAATCATTTTGCCACAGTTTTGTTGAGAATTACCAACTCAGCTATCATGATGAGATTTGTAAGAGAAAGTTTGTGATATATATTTGTCAATTGTCACCTATCTTTATTATATATAATTCTATATATAGACGTCTATCCAATCATATCTTGTAATATATATATATATATACACGTGGTACTTTACTGTTTATATGTGGTTCAATAAAATCTTGTTATATATATATTTTTCTTATCTATTTTTTTCATCTAACCAGCACCTAATTGATTGATTTTACATAAATACATAAAATTTGATTGGACTCTTAAGTTCGTCCAACCGAATACTTTAAACTTCTTTTTGTTTTTGTTTTTTTTTTTTCGTTTTCTTATCTAAAGATAATTGAAATTTGGAGTTGCCTTGCTACAAACAAGATTAGGTTAACAATTTCGCAGCTATACATGAGCAAGGCAAGTGATGTCATTAAAATAAAATGGTCACATTTGTAATATTCAAATAGAATTTATATTTAACGTTACAAATTTGATATATTATAACATTCGATGAAATTATCAAATTATAAAAATCTCAACAATTATTTTTCAATTACTATATGCACATTGTCACAAATCTAGAAATTATTATTTAAATATTATAAAATATTGACTGGTTGTTGTTATTGAATATAAACAAATTTGGTTTTATTTTATTTTTATAAAATATTGTCCATGTTTTAGGATAAAATATTTGTATAAACAAATAAAATAAAGTAAAAAACTTTGGTCTTTTTGTTTATTTTAATTAACAAAATATTTCGAAAAGAATTTAGAAGAAAAAAAGAGAAGCTAAATTCAAAAGACCTATAATTCATTTCTAACTCTACATGTATACATGCAATGGCTACTACCACAAAACATTCTACAAAGTCCACAACACAAATTTCTTTCTCATGCATTCTCCCTATTCCAATCCTTTTTTCCCCCCAAGTAAAACACTAAACTGAAAAGAAAAAAAAGCTAAATCCCCAAAAAGAGAGAAAAAAAAATCCCAATAATTTACATTGTACAACAATCACCTTCACCTCCTTGTTCTTTTCCTAGACCTACTACTTCCACCTCCCACCCCAACCTCACTCTCACCATTGTCTCTCCCTCTCTTTCCCGTCCTCTCCGGTGGGCTCACTGTTACCGATTTTTTTGGCGGACTTGCCGCCGATCTCTTCGGTGGCCGGCCAACTCCTCTCTTCATTCTTCTACTCTCTTCCCTCACCCCTCTTCCCCTTGAACTCCTTGTCACCCTCTCTTTTCCTGCATTTCTCTTCTTCCCCTTCCTCTTGTTCGCGTCCTCCTCTATTCTACTATCTTTGCTCTCATTCTCCGAATCATCTTCCTCTTTGTCGTCGTCATCATCATCATTGTCGTTTTCCGTCACTTCACTCGGCGAATTTTGCTTCATTCTTTTCAAGAAACTGGCTGCCCCTTGCTTCTTTCTCACGGCAATTTCTTTCTTGTCCATCTTAACCTCTAAAGCATCATGAGAACTAAGCTCATTACCACCATATTGATGTTTAACCTCTCCTCTCTTGTTGCTGTTTCTTAAATTCCTCCGCCCCGAAACCGATCTTTCACTACTCCTTTTCTTCTTTGTACCACCCTTCTCCTCAATATCAACAAAAGAACCATTGATCTTCTTCTCATTGACCTTCGGTTTTTCCTCGATTTCTCTTTCTTTCTTTTCACCTTTTCTACCAGCAGCATTCTCCAAAGCTCCTTTCGCAGAGTTTCGCTTACCACACATGACCATGGTGGAAGCTCTGCTGGGTTTTGAAAGTGAAACAAGTAGTTCTTTTTGTGGTTTTTGTTGTTGTTGTTGTCGTTCAGGCTCAGGTTTAACAGCAGGAGTTTGAGGTTTCCGGAGCTTGGCAGTCATTTCTTTGGCAACAAGAGCCCGGAGTTCTAGTGCAGCAGCATATTCTTGGGAGCTTTTTCTGAAGAAAATTATGAAATTGTTGAATAAGATTAAGACATCTCTGAAGAATCTCTGAATACAGTCAGAGTAAAGCCCTCTATCAAGCCTGGATTGAATTGTTTGAAGATCTATGTGTTGCCTTATCAACTTTTTGTACCTTTCAGATTCCTGCAAAATAATATTATACATAGAATCTTAGCCAAATTCAACAGCTGATAATTACATGAACAAGTATGAATTTTGCAATTAATAATTAATATAAACAATAATAATAATAAGGTCTTGACGAAATTCTCTGAGGACACGTGGATCTACATTCTATCGTGATCTAATTTACATTCTAATATTAAATTCCAATAATTTGATTTTTATATGAGATTGTGATCAATTATTAATAAAAATTAGCAACATGATTATATGTCCTAAGAGTTTTAAAACTCAATTGATCCTATATAAAGAAAGAATTCTAAAGGAAAAAGAATTAAATTCTGCCCGACATGTTAGAAGGCTAATTTTGTAATTTACCGATGCTGAGTAGGTAGCCATCAGATCGTAGCTTCTTGGACTATGAGGTAAATTAGACTTCAGAGCGAAAGAGAACTAAATTCTACGTGAGGGTAACTTGGTAGTTTACTAATGTTGAGAGTACTGGGTCAAGATGTAAAACCATCTTGAGAGGGAATAAAAACCTTACCCCCCTGTAATGTTACCGGAGGATTGGTAGCCCCTTAGATCAAAGCTTTTTGGACCAATCCCAGAAAACTGGGAAAAGATGGTCCAACCTGAGGTGGGATCGGGTGCGAGTGGATATTCCATGTGAAGTATAAACCCAATCAGCTGATCAAAGGCCTCGAATCCCCGTAAGTTGGGGGTTGATACCCTAGTGTTGGAGGACGTAAATAAAATAATTAGAAAAGCACAAGCAGAACAGTGAATTAATTATGGAACGGAATGTCCCACGGGAGCAAGAAAGAAGGAAAAGGTCGTGACACAGAAGAGCTATTCAACGGGAATCAGTTTTTCAGTCAGTAAGTAATGATACATCATACATATAACGCTTCTTCTCTCTGTTTGTTACAGTCAATAGTTACAGTTCCAGAGAGAATGAACCGAAAGGGGTAACAACAATTTCATGTTTTTTAACCCTTCATTTACACGTAAGCACACATGTCATCTCGTCAACAGCACACAATTGCTGTACCACCTGNCTTAGATCAAAGCTTTTTGGACCAATCCCAGAAAACTGGGAAAAGATGGTCCAACCTGAGGTGGGATCGGGTGCGAGTGGATATTCCATGTGAAGTATAAACCCAATCAGCTGATCAAAGGCCTGGAATCCCCGTAAGTTGGGGTTGATACCCCAGTGTTGTATTTGACAAGAGAAGAGGACGTAAATAAAATAATTAGAAAAGCACAAGCAGAACAGTGAATTAATTATGGAACGGAATGTCCCACGGGAGCAAGAAAGAAGGAAAAGGTCGTGACACAGAAGAGCTATTCAACGGGAATCAGTTTTTCAGTCAGTAAGTAATGATACATCATACATATAACGCTTCTTCTCTCTGTTTGTTACAGTCAATAGTTACAGTTCCAGAGAGAATGAACCGAAAGGGGTAACAACAATTTCATGTTTTTTAACCCTTCATTTACACGTAAGCACACATGTCATCTCGTCAACAGCACACAATTGCTGTACCACCTGCTTACGGACCCCACTTTAAGCCCCTAATAACCGTTATAAAAATACTCCGATTAATTTAAAACACCGTGTTTCGCTATTCCCAAAAATCAATTATAGTCTATTCAATTTAAAATATTTGAACTTTCTTAACCTCTAAATTTATTAATTTAATTAAACATTCTTAACCATAAAAGTTATAAATTAACAAAAACATCTATATTCACCTCTATAATTTAAACAGCTGATGACCAACTGTCGACATTTAATAGATAAATAAGAGTGTCTTTATTTTTTTAAACTTCTATTATAAAAAATGTTTAACTAAATTAACAAATATAAAAAATTAAAAAATAATCCAACAAAACACGTTTTTAAATTTAAAGTTTATTCTCCTAATAATAATTCAACTCAACTTTTTAAAAATACTATTCAAAATAACAAAACAAACACAAATTTCTTTTTATTAACAAGGTTGCATTAAATAACACAAATCCCTTCAAATTTTCTGAAATTATAAAAATATTTCTGTTAAAATAAACGGAAAAAGGGAAAATTCAATATATATAAGTCAATCCATACCCGTACAACTTTAAATGACTCACAAGATGTACACCAGGAAGAAAAATGGAAATTATTTAAAAAAACTCTCTGAAGAATAGTTTTAACCACCAAATTTAAAGTATATATCTCGAATACTCAATTTATCTGTTGGTTTACGATTTTTCACCAACGATAAAAGATAATAAAATATTTGATTAAATTCACGCACAATAAATACTATAAGATTTTGTATTTTAACATTTGAAAACGCTTATAAATGAAAATCTGAATTTTTTTCAGAAAATGCCGACGAGAATTTCTTTTTGAATTAAATTTTTCACTAGTCAAAAACAATATTAAATGTTGACTAACTCTTAAATAAATGAATAAAGTGGAAAAAATGAGCAAAATTTAAATTAAACAATTTAAACTAATAGATTACAAATTCACCCATTTATTAGGTTTGACTTTTGATTTTTAACCATTAAATCAACATAAAAGAATTAGATAACATCATGAATGTACGAAATCGTGATACGTAGAATACACGACCCAAGACTTTTTTTCAGCCATTGGATTCTCGTAACTGCAAGGTCAATCTAACAGTTGGTACTCACCAAACCCAACTATACAAACAAATAACACGACGTCGTCCCCTTCCAACCAGGTCCAAATCCGAAACAACGTGGGCTTTTACCAAGTTAAAGCTAAAGATAATTCTACCACTCAAAATCAGTTCTAAATATAGCAAAGACCAGGCGGCCAAAAGGACCAAAATATAAATATTACACCAAAGACACGTAGATAAGGCACAAACTTTTTTGGCTTGGAAAGTTACACATGCAAAATCACTTTCTTTTCTTATTTTCATTATTTTATATTATTTTATTCTATATTGTATGTTCCAGCGCGATATCAGCCAAGATTGGAGTAGGTGAAAATTTCATGCTAAATTTTTTTAAAGTAAGATTTTTAGAGTAAGAGATATTCTATATCACATAATCTTTTTAAAGGGTATTTTTTTTTTTTTTTACACAAAATTTCAATCATTGATCGAGATTTAATCTCATTTATACCACTGAATCTTAACCATTTAAAGCTAATTAATCTTATTTCTTTAATTTATTAAAAAAAAAAAAAACCCAAAAGTTATCACTTTAACCGTACTCCTAAGCCAACGTTTTCCAAAAGCCCGGTAATTTGAGACCCACTTCCATATGTGAAAATGCATCCCGACCGTCGATTTTCTAAACCCGACCCTCACATGCATTAACACGATAACTTTTTTATGCAATTGCGATGTAATGTAACATTTTTTTTAAGGACTAAAATACCCAAGAAACCTTTTCTCTTGACAAAAAAGTCGCCCCAATGATGTAAAATGCAAGGCTGTGATTAGTCGAGCTCGGGTCAAGCGTGTTCGTGTCAGAGCTTAGGTTTTTAGTTTTTACTAATTAATTTTCCTTTTTTTTTTTTTAAATAAGACAGGATTTAATTTTAATTTTTTTAAATAAAGAATATTCGAATTGGAATGTACCTGGCTTCGAAGCCGCCGCTCAAAGTGTGAGCCGAGCCGGTGCGACCGTATGATCTCAAGAAACCTAACTAACGGCTCCGATTTCACGGCCAACACCTTTTTCGTGGCGGGAGAAACCTCCTCAACATCGGGCTCCTCGCCACTGCTACTACGACGCCGTTTTTTGTTGTTTGACAAACTAGCCGAGCTCTGTACATCGCTGCTCTGCTTCGATGCCACCCCAACTTCTTTTCCCTCCCTCTTTGAATCGTCCCACAACTCGTTCGACTCACTGAGTCCACTCGTTTTATTATTCTTGTTAATAGTTTCCATTTTCTCCTCCGACACCGTTTTGTCATTATCCACGTCATCATCTTCTTCGTCGTCCTCCTTGACATTTCCGTTTAATTTACCGTTTGAAGACCAATCTCGATCCCGGTCTGGTCCACTTCCGGTTCGAACCGGATCCGGATCGGTTTCCCCATCCGGTTCATGTTTTACTTTCGGTTCTTTCTTCTTCTCGCCTTCCGCGACGTCGTTTTTAAGTCGTTTCCTGCTCCTCGTTTCCTCTGCTTTTTGAGTCGTGGAATTGGATTCGTTGAACGATCGGTTCTCACGCTCGTCCGATTCGTCGCCGTCCGCGGAGGAGAATTTACCGGCGATGATATGCGGCGAGGCCTTCCTCTCTCTCTCCAGATCTGCTTCCTCCGCCTTCATGCTCTTCTCTCTCTCCTCCTCCAATCTCTTCACCTTCAATTCCAAAGACCTGCAAAAACCGAATAAAAAAAAACGACACGTCGTTCCATAGATCTCAATGAAAACTGAAAATCTCTCACTCTCAGATCTAAGAAAAATGAATTACACGATCGAAACGTCGCGTCGTTGAACCTCGTCGCGCAGCTCCTGAACACGAATCTGTCTGAGCTGGTCAACAAGCGGAACCAAACTAGTCGACTCGGCGTCGTTTGAAGCCATGAACCGTCGTTTAAGATCACGAAACTTGTCCTTACAGCTCTCTGGAGTGAGAGACGCCAGGCTCGAACTTCGGTTGGCTACTTCCATGGCTATGGAGTCCCAACTCTTGGTCCCGTGACGGTTCACGGCGCACGCTAACAATAACTCCTCCAACGGCCCCCACCGCTGGTGTTCTTGTTGCTGCTGCGACGACGACGTCGTTTCTTGTTCTCTAGCCATGAAACGAAAGTAATACCACTACAACTACCGCCACGTCGACGACGCTGCTCATCTCATGTCATGGCGTGGTTTCAAACCTTCATCATCATAATAATCGAAAACGATTTCTTCTTCGTCATCATTTAGATTATCGTTTTAGGGTTTTGGCCTTGCCGTTTTGAATGGGTTTTTTTGTTTTGTTGTTTTTTTTGTATTTTATTTTTTTCCTTATATTCCGTTCGTTGTTGATTATATGTTTTATGTTTTGCTTTTGTTTTTGTTTTTTTAAATAAAAATGAGATTTGGAGATTAATGTTTATATTTATAGAGAGGGAGTGTGTTGTGTTGTGTATTTGTGCCTCTGTTTTCGATTTTCCTTTCTCTTGGCGGTTCGGGTCTGGTCTGTTTTTCATTTCGTACCAGGGATTATTGGGTCTCAGATTACTATAATGCCCTTATGAGAATTCACTTATGATCTTTAAAGGAAACCATAGAGGGGCAAAATAGTAAAATTTCATTTGTTTCAATAAATTATTTTTTCGAAATCCGTTTATTTATTTAAAAACTTTGACTTACAGTACCATCTAATATAAATGTTAAAAGAAATTTCAAAATTGGATCAAATTATTCTTAATGATAAAACGGTAAAATCATATCAATTATATTGCAAATCATATAAATACAATAAATAAATGTATTAAAATTTTGCTTCTAACGAATACATTATAATAGAGTTTAAAAATAAAAAAATATTATTTTTATTTTAGCCCATATATCTTTAAGTATAATCAAATATATCAAAATAATGAAATGAGCCTTTGTAAGATATGTTATGTGTTAAAAGTATTTGAACATGAGACTTTTTTTTATGAACTTTTAATACAATATTGTTTTATACAATTTTCAATTAATAAATTGTCTACTTTAAAGTTGTAAAATATATAAAATTTTCCTTTTAAAAAAAAAATTATTCATTTAAAATCATTTTTGTTCATAAATGAAAAAATAAAATATTTTCACCTAGCAATAATATTGGAAGTTATTTTACGATCACAGCTCTAAGATAACACATGTCACCGCCTAGTACACCATGGTTGGAGTTTTATTGGGACCCATTTTAATTGGATTATTTTAAAATATGATCAAAGGGTCCTGAGCGGTTGCGATGTTGCCACGTCAAATCCAAGGGTTATTCGTTGTAATATTGAAGTGGTCACAGTCTCACAGACCTCTGAGATTGAATGTTGACCGTCAATTCGTGGGACCCTTTTTATCTCGATTGTTTAACCGGCGTGGCTCTTATATTTGGATGAAAATAATGTTATGTTTTAATATATTCATTGTATGATTTAATTAAAAAACTAGAATCAACATTTTTTTTTTCTTTTCTTTTGAGGGAAGAATCAAACAGTTTATTTTTTTGTTGATTATATTATATGATTAAATGGTTAATCCAAATTTGAAAGCCAAGTAAACAAAAAAAGAAAGATGAGGTGGTGTTACGATGTTACCATTTCAACCTAAAAAGCAAATCAGTGAAAGCTACAAAAGGAAAAAAAAGTGATATTGTGTTGTATTTAAAATTCAACTTAACACGGGCCGCAAGAAAATTTATAAAAAAATAAGTTTCGGAAAATTAAATTATAATAGCTTTTAAAATAGCTTTGAATTGATATGAAATTTAGTTAAAAGATATTTGTTTAATTGTCGTAGTAAGTCAATAATCCTATTGATTCGATATTTTAACAATTGCATGGATATTGAATTAATTTGCCTTTTCAAGAAATGTTTACATGTGTCTAATCCGGTTTCAAATTAAAGATTCATATGATTAGGTATCTTTAAATCTTAATTAATGATGTATTGAGTCAGATAAATTATGTAAATCCTAATACACGTGGCTCTGCTGTGTTACAATCAACGTGAGAAACGTTACTTAACTGATCCTTGTAATGTTATATACAGTAATAAGGTTATGACTTGACTATCGGTTATGACTGTCAATTTATTATTTTAAGATCGAGATACTTTCCTGATTTAATCTTTTACCTATATATTTGTCGTAATTATATTGATACTAATGCTCTTAAGAAACAATTAATGCTTTGGATCCATTATCCATATCATCTTGCATAATCACACAGTTATGAAGCTAAAATTCTTTTCTTATGATTGATAGATAATAATAATTAAAAAAAATCAATTTTTGTGAATAAAAATTGACAGTACTAAATATCCGAAAAACTTTGATAAATTCATGAGAAATATAAGTTTAGTAAAATTAAATTATAATATATTTTGAAACAGCTTTCGGATACAATTATTAAAGCAAGTGCAAAATCAAATAAAAAAGTTAACCTAAAACAAAAATTTAAATATATATTAAACACGTTTTTAAATGTTAAAAATTTTAATTGTATTTTTATACATTATTTGAAAAGAACAAATCAGAAAAAACAAAAACTACCTATAGATAACCAAGTGGTTTGATAAAGACTCTTAGACGTATTATTCAAGAGGTATTGAGTTCGAATCTCTCATCGGTTACTAATTAAGGTAGCTACCGGAGTTCTTACTGGGTCGATAGTTCCCAGATCCCGAAAGATTAATTGAGGTATGTGTAAGTTGGTCCGGATACCCCCAATCATAAAAAAAAAACCACACACTCAAAGGTAACTTTGTTGTGTTATCTAGTACTTGAAAAAGGAAATGGATGGTAATATTATTTGTTCACAATTATCATTCAATGGATATGAAAAATAGTTAAAGATATTTGTTTAATTGTTATCGTAAGTCGATAATGTTATTGAGTCAATACTTCGACAATTGCATGTATATTGAATTAATTTGCCTTTTCAAGAAATGTTCACATGTGTCTAACCCAGTTTCAAATTAAAGTTTCATAACTTCGTATACTTATGTATCTTTAAATCTCAGTTAATGATGTATTGAGTCAAATAAATGATGTAAGTCCTACACGTGGCTCCGTTGCGTGGCAATCGACGTGAGAGACATTACTTAGTTGATCCTTATAAATATTATACAATAATAAAGTTGTGTCTTATGATTGTTAATTTATTAGTTTAAGATCGAGATACTTTCCTAATTTAANAAATATAATCAAATATATCAAAATAATGAAATGAGCCTTTGTAAGATATGTTATGTGTTAAAAGTATTTGAACGAGATACTTTTTTTTATGAACTTTTAATAAAATATTGTTTTATACAATTTTCAATTAATAAATTGTCTACTTTAAAGTTGTAAAATATATAAAATTTTCCTTTTAAAAAAAATTATTCATTTAAAATCATTTTTGTTCATAAATGAAAAAATAAAATATTTTCACCTAGCAATAATATTGGAAGTTATTTTACGATCACAGCTCTAAGATAACACATGTCACCGCCTAGTACACCATAGTTGGAGTTTTATTGGGACCCATTTTAATTGGATTATTTTAAACTATGATCAAAGGGTCCTGAGCGGCTGCGATGTTGCCACGTCAAATCCAAGGGTTATTCGTTGTAATATTGAAGTGGTCACAGTCTCACAGACCTCTAAGATTGAATGTTGACCGTCAATTCGTGGGACCCTTTTTATCTCGATTGGTTAACCGGTGTGGTTCTTATATTTGGATGAAAAAAATGTTATGTTTTAATATATTCATTGTATGATTTAATTAAAAAACTAGAATCAACATTTTTTTTTTCTTTTCTTTTGAGGGAAGAATCAAACAGTTTAATTTTTTATTGATTATATTATATGATTAAATGGTTAATCCAAATTTCAAAGCCAAGTAAACAAAAAAAGAAAAGATGAGGTGGTGTTATGATGTTGCCATTTCAACCTAAAAAGCAAATTAGCGAAAGCTACAAAAGGAAAAAAAAGTGATATTGTGTTGTATTTAAAATTCAACTTAACACGAGCCATAAGAAAATTTATAAAAAAATAAGTTTCGGAAAATTAAATTATAATATCTTTTCAAATAGCTTTCAATTGATATGAAATTTAGTTAAAAGATATTTGTTTAATTGTCATAGTAAGTCGATAATCTTACTGATTCGATATTTTGCATGAATATTGAATTAATTTGCCTTTTCAAGATATGTTTACATGTGTCTAATCCGGTTTCAAATTAAAGATTCGTATGATTATGTATCTTTAAATCTTAATTAATGATGTAAATCCTAGTACACGTGTCGTTGTGTTACAATCAACGTGAGAGACGTTATTTAACTAATCCTTGTAATGTTATATAGGATAATAAGATTGTAACTTAGACTATCAGTTATGATTGTTAATTTATTATTTTAAGATCGAGATCCTTTCTTGATTTAAGCTTTTACCTATATATTTGTCGTAATTGTATTGATACTAATGTTCTTAAGAAACAATTAATGCTTTGGATCCCTTATCCATATCATCTTGTATATCACACAGTTATGAAGCTAAAATTCCTTTCTTATGATTGATAGATAATAACAATTAAAAAAAAAAACTATTTTTGTGAATAAAAATTGACAGTATTAAATATCCGAAAAACTTTGATAAATTCATAAAAAATATAAGTTTAGTAAAATTTAATTATAATATATTTTGAAACAGCTTTCGGATACAATCATTAAAGCAAGTGCAAAATCAAATAAAAAAGTTTACCTAAAACAAAAATTTTAATATATATTAAACACGTTTTTAAATGTTAAAAATTTTAATTGTATTTTTATACATTATTTGAAAAGAACAAATCAGAAAAAACAAAAACTCCCTTTAAGTGACCGAGTGGTTTGATAAAGATTCTTAGACGTATTATTCAAGAGGTATTGAGTTCGAATCCCTCATCGGTTACTAATAAAGGTAGCTACCGGAGTTCTTACTAAGTCGATAGTTCCCAGGTCTCGAGAGATTAGTTGAAGTATGTGTAAGCTGGTTCAGATACCCCCAATCATTTAAAATAAAAAAAAAAAAAACACACACACACATACACACTCAAAGGTAACTTTGTTGTGCTATCTAGTAATCGAAAAAGGAAATGGATGGTAATATTATTTGTTCACAATTATCGTTCAATGGATATGAAAAATAGTTAAAGATATTTGTTTAATTGTTATCGATAATATTATTGAGTCAATACTTTGACAATTGCATGGATATTGAATTAATTTGCCTTTTCAAGAAATGTTCACATGTGTCTAACCCGGTTTCAAATTAAAGGTTTGTAACTTCATATACTTATGTATCTTTAAATATCAGTTAATGATGTATTGAGTCAAATAAATGATGTAAGTCCCACACGTGGCTCCGTTGTGTGGCAATCGACGTGAGAGACGTTATTTAGTTTATCCTTATAAATATTATACAACAATAAAGTTATGTCTTAACGATCAGTTATGATCGTTAATTTATTAGTTTAAGATCGAGATACTTTCCTAATTTAATCTTTTACCTATATATTTGTTGTACTTATATTGGTACTAGTATTCTTAAGAATCAATTAATGCTTTGGATCCATTATCCATATAATCTTGCATCACATAGATATGAAACTAAAATTCCTTTTCTTGTGATTAATAATAATAATAACAATAAATCAATCTATTTTTGTGAGTAAAAATAAAAAGTACTAAATATCCGAAAAACTTTGATAAATTCATGAAAAATATAAGTTTAGTCAAATTAAATTATAATATATTTTGAAACAGCTTTCGGATACAATTATTAAAGCAAGTGCAAAATCAAATCAAATAGTTTTAACCTAAAATAAAAATTTTAATATATATTAAACACGTTTTTAAATGTTAAAAAATTCAATTGTGTTTTGTTTTGTATACATTATTTGAAAAAAACAAACCAAACAAACACTGCCTCTGGGTGGCTAATGATTCGATAAAGACTCTTTAATGTATTACTTAAAATGTTTTGAGTTTCAGTTCTTCATCGGTTGTTAATAAGGGAAGCCACTAGAGCTCTTACTCGACTGATAGTTTAAGGGTTCCAATGGATTAGTTGAGGTGTGTGTAAGCTGGTCCGAACACTCATAATCATAAAATAATAAAAAAGCGCACACACACACATAGGTGATTTTTTTGTGTTATCTAGTAATTGAAAAAGGAAACGGTAGGTAATATTATTTGTTTACAATTATCGTTAAATGGATATGAAAAATAGTTAAAGATATTTGTTTAATTTTTATCATAAGTTGATAATGTTATTGATTCAATACTATAACAATTGCATGGATATTGAATTAATTTGCCTTTTCAATGTCTAACTTGGTTTCAAATTAAAGGTTTATATAATTATGTATCTTTAAATCTCAATTAATGATGTATTGAGTAAGATAAATAATATAAGTCTCACACGGGGCTCCGTTGTGTGACAATCAAAGTGAGAGACGTTACTTAGCTGATCCATGTAAATGTTATACAGTAATAAGATTATGTCTTGTTAATTTATTATTTTAAGATCGAGATACTTTCCTGACTTAAGCTTTTACCTATATATTTGTCATACTTATATTAGTACTAATATTCTTAAGAAATAATTAATGCTTTAGATCCATTATCCATATCATCTTGCATAAGCACAAAGTTATGAAACTAAAATTCCTTTCTTATGATTGATAGTTAATTAAAAAAAAATTAAAATGAATCTATTTTGGCGAATAAAAATAGAAAGTACTAAATATCGGAAAAACTATGATAAGTTCATGAAAAATATATGACCAAATTAGTAATATACAAGTATGGTATGGGATAAAATCATATCATTGTATTAACAATGATATCAACACTAATAATCATTACACTTTTTATGATAATGACAAAAAAGGAGTCAATAATATTACTAAACTCCTAACTTTACCTACCCTTTGATAACCGTTAAATAATGACAACCAATGAATTATATCAGCTTTTCTCTCATTGACCATTTCGGGTTAAGAAGAAGTGAAATTACCCTTTTCTCTATAAAAATAAGAACGCGGTGCGTTATGTGGTATGAAACAGGAAAGAAGGGATTTTATAATTGAGGTTTTAAATAAGATAATATTCTGATACGATAACTCGTAATTGGTTTTCAATAAATTTTTTCGCTTGATTGATTATAAGTTAACTAATTATAAATTGTCATATCGAGATTATGAAAGAAAGTTTACAAAATTTGGTTATGAACCAATATTTATTGTTTCATTTTTCATATTACAACAGTAATAAGAATGAGAGGTGATAAACTTTTTATCATCGTGACGAGGAGCTATTTTTTCAATATTGTTACTACCCTTTCAATAATAACCGTATAGTTTTCGGAAGAAACAAACAGTAGTAATCGATGGGCTGGAGCCGGAAACATTTTCGAGCCAGTAACGTTAGCTGTTAAGAAGAAACTGGTAACTTTGCCAGCCCGATAACTTACCATTCCCACTCGGTTTGGTCCATTGATCCATTCCCACACAAATATCCAAACCAAAGCCCAATCTTAAGCCCATCCGAAAAAATCCAATCATGTAAATTCACTGCGCGGGAACATCAACCTCCAAATTTTTAACCAAAAACAAAAAATAAAAGAACCCTAACATATGAAACAGTGAACTTAAAAGAGTCAATAACAATATTATCCCTTAGGTATAATTAAATAACAAGAATTACTTTCAGATTATAGAAATAACAAAAATCTTCCTACCATTAATATTTGGACGTTAAAATAAACGGTATAAGGGCAATCAGGTAAATATATGTTAAATCATTCACTTATAATATCTAACAGTAAATTAGCGACTCATTAACGATACGTGTTTTTTGTTATTACTGAAACCTCAAGAAACTATTTGTCATTTTATGAAAACTCAGGGGGGTCGAAAGGATAAGTTAAAACTTTAAAAGCACAAGATTTTCCCTCAAATTTGAAGCTTCTTAAATCTCACTCTCTCTCTCTCTCTCAAAATTTGAATTCTAAAACTCACGTTTTCTCTCTCAAATTTCTCAACAATTTTCTTTTCATTCTTGATTTTCTTGGAGAAATTCGAAGTCGAAGCCATGAGAAGAGCAGCGAAGCGAGAGACGGGGAACAGTAGCCGTAGTAGTAGAGAGCGAGTTAGCGACAAGACGGAGCAACTCAGGTCCGTGAAGCGCGAGAAAGTGAGTCATATCCGAGTCGACTTGGGCGCCGGTGATGAATCGACTCCGTCGAGTCAACAAGATACGGTCCAGCGTAGGGTTCTCCGGTCGAAGTACCTTGCTGTAATGAACAAGATCAACGGTAGCATTTTGCGTTTTAAAATTTAAATTATTTTCTTAAATTTATCTTCAACGATTTTTTGTTTTGTTTTGTTATTTTTTATGTTATTATAATGACTTTTTTTCCTTTTCAGATCAACGGGATGATTTGTCGAAAATAGATTCTCTGAAGTTCAATACAATCTTTAACGAGGTTGAGAATTTGCATCAATTAGGTAATTGATTATTTACATGTGAAGATGTTTAATTTGCAAGAAATTTAAATCTAGGAAAATTAAAAGAAAATTTGAAAAATTTAAATTTTGTTTCTGCTTTGGGGTTGTATGTTAATATTTTTATTATTTTGATATAAAAAAGAAAATTATGTAGTTAGTAATAAAGTGTTTCATATCATTGAAATCCATTGATTTTATTAGTAGAGGGAATTGCCTTAGCATTTCTCTTGGAATTTATTGTTTCTCTCTCTTTTGTATTTATCGTTTTGAAGAAAAAATACATATTTTGAATGTAATATAATGTTACTAAGTAATGTTACAAGTTATGAAATAGGATGGGTTATTGAAATCCATTATTTTTAATAGTAGAGGGGTTTGCCTTAGCCTTTCTCTTTGAGTACATTTTTTTTAGAAAATTTTTAAATTGGGACTTTTCGTGTAATGCCCAAATGGGTTTGCAGTGCAGAAGCCAAGGGAACAGGTAGCAGATGCAGAAGCACTGTTGGATATTGCTAACGCATTGGTGAATTCTGTTCAGTCACAATCCAATGAGGGAGTTACACCAACGGATTTTGTCAGTTGTTTGATCTCTGAATTTGGGCAACCCAATGGGGGGAGAGTAGCCTCCCAAGAGAATGCCCAGATATCAATCAATTGGAAAGATATTGGCCTTGCTATCTCACCGTTTTTATCAATATGCCATGGTTGTTGCACCATGTGAGTTTTATCTTAATCTTTATTGATACGATAATAATGTGTTTTGGGGTCTCACTAGCATTCCCATCCGTAAGGTTTCTCAAATTGGAGTTTTGTAAAGTAAAATGTGATATCTTTCACAATGAATACTAGATTAGTAACCAAATATATAATTCATTACTGTAAACTACAACTAATATACCTGTGTTTTTGTTTTCTTCTAATCTTTTTCTCTTTGATGTATGTTAACATGTTGGGTTTTGCTTTACTTTGTGTTATTTGGTGAAGGGTTGGGCCTATGAATACTGAGGTGAAACAAAGGAAGGTTGCTGTTCGCAGAAAGCGTGAAAAGCCTACTCAAACTGCAAGACCTGAGGAGGTGAAATTGCCTCTTATTTTTTATTCCCCTTTTTGGTGCTCATTTATGGAATATTGTTATTGTGATGAGCTGGGGTATGCTCTGGCCATGAAGAGTTCTTTCATCAATGAGATTGATGCTGGTGATGTGGATATCAAGTGTAATTTGATAGGTGGCATAACAGTGTTATTTTTTCGGGAATTTGTGAGGCAGAAGAGTTGGAGAGGGGGATTTATCCTGCTTTAGTAATGTATAGTGGCATAAGTTGAATTTTCCTTTTTCAAACCTGCATGATCTGATTGTATTATTTTTTAAACAATATATCAGACAGAAAACATAAAATGGTCATGAAGTTCAGATGACTTAGTAGAGGTTACCATCTTCTTTGGGAGAGGTTTTAGCTATATTTTTTATGTATATGATTGCATACATGTATCACTGCTTGAGTGCAGTTGTCTGAAAAATACTTGCATGGGGTTTATGCTCAATTTCCTCTTTTCTCTGTTCTCAATTTTGCATTCAGTTTTATGTGTAATTTGCCAACTTGAATGGATTATGAGTTACTCTAATGTAGAATTGGACATTGAATCCTTGAAGTTATTCTCTGTTATGCTTTCACAACTGTAGCAATTTTCATAATTTATGGTTTCTGTACAACAGGTTGATAACAGTGAGGCAGATAAGAAAACAGATACAGATAAAAATATGTCAACAATGTTTGACATCTTAAGAAGGAAGAAACGTGTTAGACTTGAAAGTTTGATTCTCAATAGAATGTCATTTGCTCAGACTGTTGAGAATATGTTTGCCCTATCATTCTTAGTTAAAGATGGTCGCATTGAAATAGCTGTTGATGAAAATGGCTCTCATTTAGTTGGTAAGCTATATACAGCAATCAGTTCAAAATTTTAGTATTTTAATATTTATACCATCTGTGCTTGGGAAATTATTTTTTTTATTTTTTTTTCAGCACCTAGGAATGCTCCTGGTGCCGATGCTGTTTCGTCTGGCAACGTCACATATCAGCATTTCGTCTTCAGATTTGATTATAAGGATTGGAAGGTATGTTATAGGAACCTGTTCTGATGAGTGATAATGCTGTATTAGGTGTTTCTATTATTGATCTCAGTTCTGAAACATAAGTTGTTTGGCCTCTTAATATGGAATCAATGAAGGTATAATCGGTCATGTGACCTATGATTTGGTGGTTTGAAGCATCTTCCAATTTAAGTATAGGTTTATGTAAGATGAATATTAAAAATTATTCATCAATAACTTTGGCAGAATTCTTAAAGAAGGTGAAATTTATGGTTAATGGAGATATGCTATAACTTTTCTTCGTAGCATATGCATCATTATTATATAAAATGTTTAAGTTCATTTTTCTTCGGTTTCTCATGTTAACTACTTGTTTCCCCTTAATCCAAACTTCATAATACTTGTTAAACAGTTAATGATGGATGCGGTGCCTGCCGGTCAGGAGCTGATGCCACATAGGGAAAAGTCAAACTCTTTTGGTGTTTCTCAGGCAGAACCAGCAGCATTCAACTCTCAAGCAGCAGCATTACGCACAACTCCAATCAAGAAATTATGCAGGAACCGTGGCCTGGTAATACGAGAGGAATCAGTTGTTGAAGATTCGCCTGAAGTTGATGATGCTCCTGCTGGTGGAAGAGCCACCAGAATGCTCAGATGTAAGCGTAAACTCATCTGAAGAAGAGGCTTTGTTTGACAACTTGCCATGAACTGGTAGCTGCATATTTTTGTAGAGTTTTGTCATGTACATATGGGCAGGTAAATCCAAAACCGATAATCTTATTTTGTAGATTATTTAACTGCTGATTCTGTGCCATAACGTTTTAAATTATAAGATACCATCTTGAAGAATGCCTTTTTGTGTAAATAGTATGGCACAACTAATTTTGTTCACCAACTAGGGTTAAATTTCAAGTGATTGAAATTTGTTACATTTTTGTATAAAGATTGGTTTTGTTTTGTGTCAAAATTTTGTATTCTCAAAACAATTAGCAATTTCCTTGTGCACGATCTCAGATTATTGTGCTTTCAAGCTTGTTTGAAATGAAGTCATAAAAATTCACCTTCTGAGCATATCATATTATCATTAGGGTGTGCTTTTATTGATTCAATAATGTTTTTTATTAAATGAAGTTGATAAACATTAATCTTTTGTGGACATCGAATTATAGATAGAATTGATTTTTATTGATATCATAATATCAATGGGGTGTGATGTTATTGATTTGATAACATTTCATAAGACGAAAATTTATCTTTTGTGGACTTTGAGTTATAGATAGAATTTACTGTTATTGATTTGATAACTTTATTGGATTGAATATTCAAGTCACGCGATTGTGTTTGTGTTTTGTTTAAATGGTAACATGGAGCGTTTTATTGAATGTGTTGGCAAGTGATTCTTTTGTCCCTTAAATTTTGATTATTGTGCCAATTGAATTGATTCTGTTTGGAGATAATGAAGAATTATTGACATTAGTTGCCCTTAAAAAAGGAATCGATCTCATCTAATAGATACCAGATTTCTTGTATTATACTTGCCCTTTATTATAGTTGACTTTAGAATATATAAAATGCCTCAATATTCAAATTCATAAGAAAATCATCTATTTTTAGATATTGTTAAAAATTAATCAAGTCAAATAGGAACGTATATATCCTTTCTGTCGATACCGTTATAAACTTATAACTATGTTAACTCCTATAGTTGAAATGACTACTTTACCCCATAAAACAATTTCTATTAAACTTGGGGAACAACCGAACAAGACCATTGGCTTTTTTTAATTTGAACTGCCTTTAGAAATAATAATATTATTTTATATTATTAAATATAGAAGAGTAATACTATATTAATAACTTTTTTTCATGAATTTTTTTTTTACAATCTTGATGTAATAGTTTGTGATTAATCAATTTTCAATTAATTAATAGGATTCATGTGAGATCTATTGTAAAATGATTAATTGTGAATTATTGTATCAGAGTGAGAGAAAGTTTATGAGAAAAGTTTGTCGGTGGTGTAGTATTATTTAATATAAAATATTAATTATAACAGTAAATTACTTGCTGAACAGATATTGGTCAATGTAAATTAAAAAGATAGTTTTTATAAAGGAAACTTTTGTGTGTTTAGTCTTTTTGTGAGTAGTTAGGTTTTGGAAATCTCATCAACTCAATATTTAAATTTATTAACTAATTTTATCAATTCAATATTCAAATATATCAATAAATTTTATCAATTCAATCTTTAAAAAAATATTAATTTTTTGATATTATTTACAAATTTTGGATGTTTGATTGAATTTATATGAATAGTGAAAATGTCATTTTTGTACAAATTTAAACAGAATATTTTAATAGTTTGTAGGGTGACATTTCTTAAATTAACGAGTGTTTACTAGAACAAGGTTAAAGTTAAACACATCAAGGTTAAAATCATAATTCTACAATTACAAAAAATCAAACAAAAAAAAAAACACCTTTCTATAAATTTATGAAATTTAAGAGAATTGATTAAAATTCATTGTTTGCATAAATCTTAAACCCTTTCTATAAATTTATGAAATTTAAGGAGATGATTAAAATTCATTGTTTGCATAAATCTAAATTTAGAAAAGCACAGGATAAAACTGATAAAACTGTGTACAATAAAATAAAATATATTTGATAAATTTATCAACTTTTAACCTACAATAATCATATTTTACAACTTTTTTCACCGACTTTTTTTCATAGTTTTCAACATGATAGTTGTCATATTAGTTTGTAATGGACAGACTCATTTTATAATGAGCTTCTACATCGAAAATTGTAAAATTAAGATTGTAAACCTAATATTATTCCTTAACATTTTGTGAAGAAAACAATATTAATAAATTTGTGAAAGAAAGCTCTTGTGACCATTTTAATTTTCAAGCTATCTAGGGTTTAAATTCTTTTTTTATAATCCAAAAATCCCTGACCTTATGTTATGAGACCTCAATTCAAAATTGGAACCCGCCAAATTTTATATAATATTTGAGAAACAGAAACATGACCTTTACCGATACAGACTCATGAAGGGACTTACAGCCCAAATCATGTGAGAGCATTTCCTTCGTTGGGTTTATCGTACAATATCTTAATTGGAGCTCTACTTTTGAAACATAATTAGACCCTTTAACTTACATGTTCTAGTTGGCATGGCACTAACATTAAACACATTATTAAAAGTTGTTAATTTGACAACAATCTCATCAACAAGCTCATAAAATATTACAACCCCTAAAGCAAAACACTAAAAAAAACTAACTCGAAATCCCGCCGCAATCTAGCCCACCCTAGGGAAGAGAAAATAGTTTGCCATTGTAACACTAGTGCTTGCTTTTTGGAATGTTAAGGTCCTTAAATATTGGACTGTCAACTCCCACTCCCATCGCGTTAAGACCGTTGTCGACGTATAGACAGCACCAGTGATTGCAGATGCCAAAGGATGCTAAGAAGGCGGCTGTGTTCCACCTCATCTGTTTTCATTGGTTTGTTAAACTCAGTAATCTTGTTCGACAAATAGCACAAGCAGAAAATGAATTAAGATAGATAAGTTCCAGCAGATACCTGCTGATAGTTCTTTCTGCAGTGGTGCATTCTCAAATGAATTTCAATCATTGTGTCGATGAATCCATTGCTTTTGCTGCACGACTTCCTAGCGGACCTGCAGGACAAAATAATATGTTGCATGTTCTCAAAAAAGAAGTCTAAACGAATGGTGTTGCAAAGATACCAGCAGATATGGCATTGACCCTGATTGTGTGTTTCTTCCTGCTTCAAAAGCAAGCACCTGAATGATCAAGTAAAGGACGAAAATGAATCGACTTTATCCCGAATTAAGGAGCATATTAGAATAATGTGAACCATAGTAGAGAAGAAATAAGAACTCACTCTGTGTCACTCTCTAGTGCAGCTTTAGCAGAACTCATGCCACCACCGTATCTGTTTTGAAATAGTTTCAAAAAATGTGTCAAATGAAAAGTAGTGAAACTCCACATTCATCGATAATCGAATGATTGATGCACATCAAACTACCCTGGAATGATCCTCTCGGAAGCAATGTATGTAAGAGAAATTGATGAACCACCTATATCATTAAAAATGAATTTAGATTCTAGAAATGCTTGTTGTATTTATCATGTATTGAGTATGTGGAGAGAAAAAACAGGCAGATTATGAGTCAAGAAGCATGCCTGGATTCATTATTGGACAAAATGCTTGAGTAAGGAAACAAAGAGTAACTTGAAGCTGATACAGCTGCAAGATATCCCTTCCTCGACGTCTCCAGCAGAGGTTTACTCACCTGGTAAGAGACATTTATTGTCAAAATACAAAAATAATAGTTTATAGAGATTCCTTATACAGAAACTTAGTACCTCTGGTCCATTGGCAAGTGAATGCACAAGGATGTCAATGCTGCCAAAATCCTGTTTCACGGATTCAGAACTTCCTGCAACACATTCAAAACACCAAACATTAAAAAATCATGCGAGTGACAGTAGCAATATAATGATGGTAGAAGAAAAAGCGTGTATTTTAAAATTTGAGCGTTAAATAGTGATGACTTATAGGAAACAAAATAAAGCAAAATGCTGATCATACGTTAGATGTGAAACTAAATTACATATCAAATTCTCTTCAGTCAGAAAATGTCAATGACTTATTCAATAACAATGGCAACATTACAAAATTCTCAACGACAAATGATAAGAAAGAAAAAATATGGTTTATATACCTTAACAGTCCACTTAGAGACGCTGCATAACGTATTTGCTTTCACTCACACAAAATGACAGGATAAGAAATGTTTATCGTAAATTCTTCACGTATTTTACAGTAACTGCACACATCCTTACATCTTCAGGCACATCCTCAGGGCTGTCATAGACTGCATCTAGGGGATATACTTTGGTGATTTCCATCAAAGAACCATCTGGCAACCTGAAACATAAAAATTCTTTCAGCCGAGCCATTCATCAAATTGACCCATTATAATGTCACATAAACCAAGATTAATAACTTACACACGTGATCCTCAAACTTTCCACGTCGCAGACTGGTTTCAAAAATGTTCAAAGCCTAAACAAGAAATGTAAGTAAATGAACATCCTTACCGAGCTTGAAAACATCAGATTATTTGAAAATGAGAGAAAATAGAATGAAGGTTTAGTGTCTTACAGGCACCCATGTCCCCACGAAATTTCCGCACCACAGCAGCAAGAGATTTTGCTATCCCAACCGTATCCATTGTCATCAGCTACACCAGCAATAATGCCTTCTTACCTGAAGACACCAGTACCAGAGTTATTGGGAGGTTTAACTTTTAATGATCGATAGAACATCAGTGTTAAAGTGGATAAACAATGACTATTCAACTTTAACATGATAACGGTTGACTGTTTGAAGAGATTCGTTACAACATTGATATTTAATACCTCCATCTAAAGACATCAGCTACCCACAACAAGAGCAACTTATGATTCTTTCACTAGTTTATAACTATATAGATCCATTGATTGCGTTCGGGATGAAGCAGGTTTAAGCACAGAATTAGCATAAGGATATCATGTTAATGGTTCCTCTTCACACTTTTGAAAATCATATAGCATGCAGGTTTACTTAAAGAGAATTCTGGGACAAACACACAATAATGTCCTTGCAACAACTTAAAAAGTAGCAAAATCATTCTAAATACAAAACATTACAACTTCCGATAAATAAATAATAAAGAAATTTAAATTTTGTCCGAGCGATGAAAAATTCGAGGAAGATGAATAAG